TATAGATCACAAATCAGGGGACACCCACGTGTCCCACGTCACTGCACATTGAACGCCAGGTCAGGAGTTGCTATTAACATCCCTTTGTTACAGACCAAGAGGGCAAAGCTACAAAGCCAGAAACCTGCAGAGTCAAAATTCACACACATTTTACAAAATCAGGGCTTGGAACTGTTGGACACTATTACACCCTGATTGTTTCTTTATACTTTTAAAATCAGTAGTGAATGCGCTACAGGAACTGGCAAGTGCTCACTATGTAAGGAATTAGTATTTTTTCTAAATATCCAATGTGGTTGGAGCTTTTCTTAGATTCAAAATCAGTCTGAATCAGCCGTTTCTTCCCCAGACTGCTTGGCTTAGTGATAACCCGGGCTCCTTCCAGGTGGTTTTCAAAGGTCATTTGATTATATATAGTTCATGCAGATCATCTCACGGCATCAGCCTAGGCACACTCAGGACCAACGAGCTCCTGTGCAGGAAGTGGAAAACATACCTTTAAGGACAGTCTCTCACTGGGAGTCAGGAAGCCCATGATCCCATTCCCAGCTGTACCACTTACAACCCTCATGGCCACAGACACAGTCATTGACCTTGCTGAATCTCAACTTCTGCATCCATAAAATGGAACCTTATACTCAAATAAGGACAAAATAGAATGGCCCCATCACCAGATACTGACAAAATTGGATGTGAAATTCAAGATCCCCAAGTCCAGGGGTCATAAACTTAAAGGTCTAGAGGGGCCAGGGAGATTATATTAATGAACAAAATAAACCCTGTGTCAGACAACACGGCATGGTGGGGATTGTTGTGAAGGAAGGATCCCCACAGAAAGAATTGTCGAGCTCCAATGTTGTGCAGAAATGTGGGCTCAGGAATTCTAGATTCTCCCATCATCAACAGAAGGCAAAAATTTTGTTTTTCATGAAAACTGTTCTGAGTTTTAAATGCTGGCAATTAACTCAAATCATTCTGGACACTATAGCAAAAAGACAGGGGGGCGCCTGAGTGGCTCAGTGGGCTGAGCCTCTGCCTTCGGCTCAGGTCATGATCTCAGGGTCCTGGGATCAAGTCCCGCATTGGGCTCTCTGCTCAGTGGGGAGCCTGCTTCCCCCCCCCCCGGCCTCTCTGTCTGCCTCTCTGCCTGCTTGTGATCTCTCTCGTCAAATAAATTAAAAAAAAAAAAAATCTTTAAAAAAAGAGAGAGAGAGAAACCAAAAAGACATTGCTGAGGTCTGGATTTGGCCTTGGGCTGATGGCCCATGACTTTTGATTCTACCCCATCTCCCTCCCTTCCCCAGAGAAGACACTGAGGATCTGTGAGGTTAATGGAGTGGCCCCGTTACCACCAGGACCAGGATCCAATGTCCTGTCACCTAGTTCTAGCTCTTCCATAATACCTGGATGTTTCTCCTTTGATTCTCTGGAAGTGGCCTGGGAAAGAAGTATGAATTCACCATAGCCAGCAACAAACCTCAGAGTCCCCACCCTTCACCCCGGCAGGGCCATTTGGCTAAAGCACAGAGCACAAAAGAGATGATTCACTTCCTGGTCTTCCGCTTATGAGGTGGGCAGGGAGGGAAAAGAGGAACTGGACTCGTGTCACAGGTTTGGGGAGATTTCATTGTTTCAGAAACTCATGTATCTACGTCTTCGTGAAAGTCTCCGTCATTGTTCCAATAATGCCCACAATCTCCTGTCTAGTTTCTCAGGTGTTCCTTCCCGTACCTGCTACAGAGCATTCCTCCAAGTGACTGTGCCACGGCCTCACACAGGAAGGTGTGCCGTTGGCAAGGGAACCAGCTTCTGAAGTCAGAACCATGGAGGATGAAAGACATTGGTTGCACAGAAAAAATTATGCCCAAGACCCTAATTGGATTATCAGTGGTCCAAAATTCAGCTTTAAGCAATTATCCATCCCAAACCCATGAGAAAAATAAAGCACAAGCCATTTCTTAACTGTCCTTCCCGGCAAAGGGGAGGAAAGGTTCTTGCAATGTGTGGGAGTTTCTATTAATGAGGCAGAAAACAAATTCTTGGAGAAAAAAATTACAGACATCCACATAACTCATTGGTGGGTTTTCTTCCATTATTAAAAGTTTTTTTTTTTTTTAACCAAAGAAAGTAAGTAATTGAAATCTCTATTCATAGCACAGTTATATTTCTGTGTGGGGGCCTGCAAAAGATCAGATAACCTTTTCAAATTTCATAAATGACATCTTATCTCCTGTGAATCACCAGACCTTCAATTCAAAGCAATGTGAACTTCTGACTGTCCACCTACCAGTCCCTGAGCTGGGCCCAGAGGTGAGTAGGACTGACTAGTGAGGCCTCAAAGAGCTCAGAGCCTATGGATGGAGAAGGCAACACAAAACCATATTCAGCACAGGATAATACAATCTGCACAAGTCTGGATATCCACCCCAAGCACTGTGGAAACAGAAGTTGGAACAACCAACAGTACCTGGGAAAGTCAAGGAAGGCTGCATGAAGAAGGTGATACCAACGGACGTCGAAGGATGAGTAGGAGTTTGCTACAAGGACAAGATAGTGGATTGTCATTATGAGCAGAAAACACAAATAATACTTGGTCACTGGTGTGAAAATCCTGGTTCCTTCAGGAGATCCTGTGTAATGGATTATGTGATCCAGGGGAGCACAGGGTGGAGTGCAGCACCTGTGATTTTGTGCAAAGTGCTTTTGTCTTACTAACTCATTTGATCCCTGAAATAGCCCAAAGCCCATGAAGCCAGTACTGGAGCACTTGCATGTGCCAGACACTTGAATAAGTATTTTGCATTCATAATTTCATTTCATCTTCATCCTAGGGACTTACAGAAACCATCTTTCCTATCCCTATTTTGTAGACCAGGAGTCCAAAGCTGCAGGCCTTTCATAACCTCCCCCAGGTCACAGAATAGAACCAGGATTCCTGTCCTGGTAGTCAGATTCTAAGAGCCAAACACTCTTCACAATGCCTCTGCCACCTACATGAAGCAGAGCTGAGCAAAGCATATTAGTGGGATCTTGATAAAACAGGGATCAGATCCCTGGGAGACAGTGGGGAACCTGCGGTCCAAAGTTATGAGGCAAAAGGTCCCATTGGCATACTCTCCGTAAATGTATCTGTGTCCTCCTGGAAAGGGCTGAGATCATTGGAAACCAGGAGTAATTGAGGCCTGAGCTCAGGACACAGGCTCAAAGAGTCAATACGTCATACTAAGAGGCACAGAGAACACAAGGCTGCATCCGAACTCGGGGCTGGAGATGGTGCTGTCCAATCCTCTGGCTCTCTCCACTCCACCATGGGGCCCTGGTAAGCAGTCTGCAGCCACCCCCACACAGTCTGAAGTCTCCGTGGAGAATGAATGGGCACCGGTTCGCACCAGTCCCTGTGAAACTTCCAACTAGCACCTTCTCCGCCTCCCTCCACACTGGCCTGAGGATGGTTATAACCAGCACAGCAGCACTGGTAGAAATTCCCCTCCTCAACTTATGAGATCTGTCCTCCAACACATGCTCATACAAAGGTCTCCGCAGGACATTTTAATTTATTCATTCCCACATTTGCTTCCTCCTCCCCATTTACAAACCCCAAAACACCCCACCCCCAAATCTCTTCGAGTGGGAAGTGGGACAACTCTGAAGTAGAGAGGGAATTTTAATCCCAATTTCAACGTTTTATAAACATCTTGGGAATCAAAGTACCGCAGCTATAAAATGGGATTTATCCATTCAACACATATTTATTGAGCACCTACAATATCCCAGACACATTGAATTCATGGTCAGCAAAGTGAAGCTAGTCCCTGCCTCACAGAATCTACAACCCAGCATGAAAGAAAAGCAATGAAATCAACCACTGTGATCGATTTGATGAGCATTCAGTCCGAGGAAGAATAATTCTTAGAGCCAGGAGGGTGATATTTCTAATTCTTGTCCAGGTTGTTAAAAGCAGATCTTTAATCCACTGCCTGAGAGCATTTTAACTCAGTGTGGTCAGAATCCAGAGGCCACAGAAAGAGGAAAGGCTTTTGATTTAGACAAGGCCAAGTGCCACCAATTATCAGACATAATTTTTCTCATCTGTAAAATGGGTATGTTAGCTGGACCTACCTCCCAGCCCTGTTGGAATTTACATGTTTTGTGAATTTAATGAGATCATGTCTGTTCCAGATCTGGCACATTGGTGTTCAATCCATAGTCGATCCTGTCCTCTGGGTCTATGAGTGCAGACTGGAGCCACACGACATGACCTGAGTGAGCACAGAGAGGTATCGGGACACACACAGCCACTGAGTTACTCCTCTTGGCAAGGACAGTAACCCTGAGAATGTGCAGGAAACAGTATGAGGCACAAAGAGGTCTAATGAAAATACAGAAGAAGTCCGGTTCCAGCCACAACCAGGGGACCAACTTCCTATGTGGTCCCTTGGCCACTCTGGTCAACTTTATTCTCACCTTCCAACAGGATGGCAGTCTTTGCTCTGATTGTCCCGTGGTGATAAGTGTTGTAATGACCAGAATCTGATGAAACAAGTCAATTACAAGCAGTGGGAAGCCATCTGGGAGGAGTGATTAACACTCATCCAACAGTCATGATTATTATTGTTCAGAGCAGGGCCATGTTCTTCAGTGGAGTTTGTGATAAATCATGGTGAGGATGGGCTGATGACAAAGGGACGCCTGCCTCCCTTACTGTGGGCAGAACAGAAAGACCAGAAGACCCTTCTCAGTCACTTTCAGCTGTGTGGCCTTGGTGATGTTCATGAACCTCTCTGAGCTTCCATTTCCTCATCTGCAAAATGGGGAAGAGCACAGCATCCCTAGCACAGCATTCCGAGGAGTCAAAGACATGGCCAGGGTCAAGGGTCTGAACCATCAAGCAGAGAACCTGATGAGCAGCATCAACCACCCCAAATGCCCATCTGGAAGCCTGACCCCCCAGCTCCATAGTCACCGCACACAGCCAGGCATTTCCCAGGAATCGTGCTCACCTTCAAGATTCTGCCAGCATCTGTGGGCACGGCCATCCACTCATCCACAGCAGGCCCCTCAGTCTCCTTCTCGGGTTCCCCAACATGCTCCTGCACCCATCTGCAGCGCTCCTTCCCCATCTCAAAAATGGCTTCCCTTCCCTTGTGGAGGACCAGCCCCTCAGCCCACACTCTCAGGCCCCACCTGTCCAAACCAATTCTGCCTCCTCCGCTTTGTCCTCACAGCTCAGCCTGGAGGCCGGCACTCTCCAAGAGGCACCCCCAGCCTCACCTACTTTCGAGTTCCCCTCCTGCAGCTCAGTACTATTTTTTTCTAACTACAACGTGCTCCTTGCCTCACAGCTGAATTCCTCTGGGCTTGTATCTCCAGGCTATTCCTTTCTGTCTCCATCCTTCGCCCTGGCCATCATGCTCACATTCCTTTGGCTCTCCAGAAGCCACAGCCTGCCTTAACCACTCCTCCCAGAGCACATTTCCAGTAGAACTGTGGCCCTGCCCCCCAGGAAGGAGAGAGACCCAGCTAAATTCCGGGCTTATTCTGGGACCCTGTTCCATCACCAGGATTCCTGCACTTGTAACTCAAAAATGCTGACTATTATACTCCTAATTACTTAAAATACAGCATTTTCACAAAGGATTCAACTTAATTTCCCTTCCAGAGGTCACCAGTGAGGTCCATATGAACCCTGAAACAAGGAGCCATCCACCTATGGAAAATTCCATGGGGCTGGGAGGCCAGCAGAGAGGTAAGGCCTCTTGTCCAGACTTAAAGGCAGCTCTGAAATCAAGAGTAGATTTGCAGTCAGGCAGGAAGGAGGACCATGCTCTGTGAGCCAGAGGAGACTCTGGACAGTTTACCAAGCTGAGAGGAGGGTCAGGAGAAGAGCCAGAGTATGGGCCAGGGACTCGAGGACCCAGGATGGGCCAAATGCAGGGAGTCAGAGACCAGACTGTTAAGTTTTCTGGGTGGGCTCAAATGCGCTGCCGCTGTGCCCGCGTTGGTGTGCTGCCTGAGAAAGAAGGCTGGATTTGTGAGGCCAGAGATGACTGTAGACAACTCCCTCGCTATCACACCCAGTGCCCACTCCATAGGACCATTCCTCCTCAAATGCCACACTGCCCTCCCTCCCGGAAAATCTCTCCCCTCGTTGTATCCCACTAGCTCTCTGATTTTTCTCTGGATTCAGTTTGCAGGCTCTTTCCTCTCCTCCCTGGCCAATAAGTCTAATCAGTGGACAAATTAGGTCTTCCAACTCCCAACAGCTCAGTTCCATATGTGTTATAGTATAGACAACAAAAAACTAAGAAATGAAGGTCATTCACTTTGTTTAAAGTCATCAAACACCTACTGTGGGTCTGGACTATGCCAGGTGAAATGGCCCCCGAGGAATTTTAGAGTAGAAGGTGGCCAGAAGGTGGACATTCTCCTACCCAGAGACAAGGCTCCCCACCCCTGCGATGGAGAGTCATTTTTAGACCAGAAGGAAGGCCCTTCTCCAAGGTCCTGATGGGTGTTGGGTATCGGGCAATCGTTCCCACGTGCATTTGAGCCGGAATCTAGACTTTTCTACAGCTGCTGCGTGCTGTGTTTGTAAGAACTATCAGCCTCACCATCAATCCTCAAGCTTGTATGGTCTCTGAATTATTTAATGCTACATTCCAAGAGGCTGTGAATAATGGAAGGGGGCGTAAATAATCTTATCTTTGTCTCTACACGCAGAGATTGGGAAGGGGCACCCAAAGAGGCTCTTATTCTGTCAGAATCTTACAACACCTGTGCATGATTAAAAACCAAACCAAATGCCCCTAGATAACTGCTATTCCCTTGTGGGGAAAAGAAGTCAGCAAGTGTCTCATCCTATTTCCCATGTGGGGAGAAGCAATTATATATCAGGCTTCAGGTTCCCAGGCCTCCAGGATAATTACAGCACTGCTTTAGAGTTGTACTGAGCCTGACACATTACCCAGCTCTTTTGCACGCTTGTACAGACGGGCAGGGCAGCTTTCCTAATTGACAGACAAGGACACTGAGCCCCAGGGAGTTTCCCTGGCTTACAAATACAGTTAGAGTGAGGAAGAAACAAGCCTGGATCCAGGTCTGCTGACGTCCCTGAAAGCATTCTTTCTTTTCACCTTTCCACCTGGCTCTCGGGGCACAGTTAGGGCAAACATTTGTCTCCCCGCCGTCATTCAGTGTTAATGAGACCTACCCACGTGCTGGGTTCATCTTCATCTCAGGTAGATTTTTGTGCAGAAGGGTCACAGGGAAGGGTCCCTGTGTTTCTTAAGCACGTTTGACCTACCTACTCCAGTAGTAAGCCCCTGAGGCACAGGAAAGAGACATGAGGAAGCAGAGGGGATGGAGGGCTTTGTCATTGAGCAGACCCCAAAGCACTATGGTGTGGTAGAAACAGGCTTTGGGTCAGGAATCAAGAAATCTGGGAATGAGTTTTGATTCTGCCACTACTAGCTGTTTGATCTCAGAGGTCTTGTCACTCTGAGCAACCAATTTCTTAATCCATAAAATCGGACAAATAGCAATTTACCCACAGGGTTGCTGTGTGACAGAAATGGGAACCCTGTGTGTTAGTGGACGTGTTATTCCCTTTCATCAGATGACATCCCCAGGATTTCCAGGGTGATGCATAAAGATAAATACTTATCAGACCTGCAGTAATGGGGAAGAGCTGTGATCTTCCTAGAGGCAAGGAACCAACAGGGAGGCAGGAGTAGGGCTTCTTGCACCTGATGCGCAGAAATGGTCCATGTCCACCAGGGGGCCCATTTTAACCATTCCACGTCCTCTGCTCATTTCAAAATCTGTCCTCAAAACCTGCCTCCTTTGATTAAGGATAGAGGAGAACACGGTTAGAAAGGATGGCAGGAGTAAACACACAAGCAATCCTTGCCCTCATTTCAGAATTGTTTATCCTCCAAGACCTCTCTTCTCCCTGGAGGTCTGATCTCTTGTGACAATGATTGCCTACCCCAGCATCCTTCAAGGACCATTTCCATCTGTGTCTCCGTAGTCATCTGGGGCCCTCCCTCACATCCACTTTCATCGTGCACTGACTACCACAATCTCATCGACATCAGCCAGGAGCTGGACAAACAGCCTTTTAAGGTAATTAAGGAGAGCATGTTATTATAGGGAGACTCTATTCAAAAACTAAGGAAATCCGGTATGACAGAGAGCTGAGACATCACCTAATTGGGAGAACAATCAGGGAAGAACTATTATCCAGAATAGATTCAATTCCCCACACCCCACTGCTTAAGTGTCAAGACCAGAATAGCTCCCCTGGGCCTGATCAATGGCTCCACTTCCTCCTCGACACTGTGTAGGAGCGTTGGAGAAGGATGATAAAGGATTACGTGCCGTGTGAGGCTCACTCTGCGTGTCCTCACCCTTCCTCCTCTCCTCTCCCCAGCGTCATTGCTCCGCTGAATTGTGATTATGTCTCTGATACTTCTGTGAGCACCTAAAGGAAGAAAATGTATCTCATTTTTCTTTATTTAATCAATAATCTGCTGAGCATCTCCACACAGGTGGTCTGCAGACAGCTTTAAATCAAAACGTCTAAGAGTGAGTTCCTTACCTGCCCCTCAGATTTGCTCCTCCTCCTAATACCCTATCTGGATGGGTGGTACCACATGCACCCTAATCACCAAGTAAGAAAGTGAGGTGTTACCCTTGACCCCTCCAACTCTTTCCCATCCATCAGCCCTAAATCTTTTCCAGTTTTGCCTTGGTCTTCAGTAAGTTCCTGGATATTTATTGAGTTCTTCTTATGTTCCATACATTCTAGCTCTGGGGGAAGCACTAGACAAAGTGGACATAATGGCTGTCCTCCTGGGTTCAAACTCAGCTCCATCATTACTAGCCTGGGTTAATTAGTTATCCTCTGTGTGGCTCAGGGTCCTTACCTGCAAAGTTGAGACAAGAATAGTGCTTATCTCATAGAATTGTTATGAAGATTAAGTATGTGAGTTAGTATATGTAAAGTACTGAGAACGTAATAAGTATTCCCAGTAAGTGCCATGTGTGTTGGCAGTCATATGAATCTCAGTTGTAGTAAGTGATACTGAGGAATATGTGCTCTTCCCCTGATGCCCTGGTGACTTTACACAGATCCATATAAACTGGGCAGATGAAGCCTCAAACCATCGCCAGTCTGAGTCTTGGTAGAACACTTAGTGATCCTTCCAGAACATGGAGGACAAGAGGCTTAGAAGGAACTATTACAAATCCATCCCTGCATGCTGCCCACCTCCCCAGGGAGTCTGTTAGGAGATAGTTTCTCATGATCTCTGGGTCTCTGATGAGGTATGAGGCTTCCCCCAACCTCCAAGGGTATAAAAGATTATAAAACCACACAACTGCCTTCAGCAGGGGGTGTTCCACAACTTGTGTTGCATTGTTCTCTGACCCCTATGGCCTTGGCATTCTCCTTTTGGGGTGTGGGACAAGGATCTGGGGAGCTGATGCCTTTGGGTTCTCTTCCTCCAACTGTCTATGCCGTGCTTAGGTGGCTCAGTTGGTTAAGTGTCTGACTCTTGATCTCAGCTCAGGTTTTGATCTCAGGGTCATGAGTTCAAGTCACACAATGGGCTCCATGCTGGTCTTGGAGTTTATTTAAAAAAAAAAAAAATAAGATAAAGAGGCTTTCTGTTGACTGTCCCCACATTTAATTCACCAACAAATACTGTCATTTCTACTTTTAAAATATACCATCCAGTTTCTATGCCTCCACTCCTGTTCTTTTCCTGTCTAGTTTCCTCAGAAGAACCAGAGTGATTGTTTAAACATACAGAGAGAATCATGTCATTCCCATTTCTTGCTCTTCAAAGACTTCCAATTATGCCAAATAAATGCCATCCTTATCAATGACCTACAAGGCCCTACATGGCCTGGGCTGTGCCCACATGTCCAGCATCAGCTGGGAGAGGCACGCTCATCAGCTAAGCACTTGCCACACAGGCCTCTTCTAACTCATCAAACACAACAAGATCCTTGGCGCCTCAGGGTCTTTGCACTTGCAGCCCTTCCCTCTTTCTCAGATGAGATGACAGAAGACAAAATCCTAAAGGGTTCCTACGAGCCACAGGAGAACCACCACAAAGGAGGCAGTGACGAGCAGCTGGAGATGTGGGCCAAAATCCAGGAGTGTGGTGTGAGGAAGCAGGGCCATGGGACTCCACGGCCTGATGAGCAGTCACAGGAGTCAAGCCCTCACAAGTGTTCAGCA